ACCCCCCCTAGACCCCCCCCAGACCCCCCCCTGACCCCCCCCTCAAAGGCTGTACGGTGTGCTGTAAACAACACCTGACGTCTGGAAACAAACATGCCGTACCACCATCGTTCTGTGCACCTAACTGCATTTGCGCCAGTGTCTCTGTGAGCAGTGTCTGCGGAGTTTCTGAGCCGTTTGCTTTGGTCAAGAATGCCCCGTTGACCTAAGTTGAATGCAACAGCGGGCCGTCTCATGGTGATATCATCAAATATTTTATATATAAATAGTGTATAAGCTCCAAATGTTCAGCTTTATATGTGCAGAAGGCATTTGGGGCGACTTATGGCCGAAGTAATGAACCAGTACGGCCAACTGACCAATTATTCCATTTCTTCCAGGCTCAGACCCCCATTTATTCCCAAAAAGGTAATATATAACAAAAAAACACTGGGGAGCAGTAGGCCCGCAAGCGCTTCACAGTTAAGGAGGCTTTAAGGAGAAATTTACCAGCCTGACGCAGAATATCATTCCTTGGTTTGGAATCACATTCAGGCCCCACGTGAAACGAAAGAAACTTGAGGTAGGTAGGCGAATACATGAATGTGCATTGCTGGATAGCAGCAATAGCGGAGTGTCGCATGCAGGTAGGGCACATGACAGGTCAGCACTTGGTCAGCCAGGGTTAAAGCGCTGTGCGGGAGGCAGCATGGCATTAGTGAAACCGCTGTGCATTATGGTCACGATTGTTTTGGTGAAATGAAAGAGTTTGTCGACGGTGTAACCGATAAACAAACAGTAATATATTCAGTTACCCAGGTACTACGGCAGCGGAAAGCCAGAAACAAGCATTCCAAACGCACGAGTTCATTAGCCTTAATTGGTAGCTTTTGCTTTAAGGAGGTTAACCTGAGGTTTTGGTGTCTGTACGAAACTTGTCGTGCTTCAGCTTTACAGTGAACGGGCTTCCCATGTTTCTTAGCTGTTTTTAGTAGTGCTATATAGAGCAAGCTACCCCTGTTATGGGACACCTAAGGAGCCTTTCCCTCATGACAAAAAGTGCTTCACACATTCACTCACACTATCGACTGGGTTATGCGAGCTTCCGTAGGCCCTCACGTGGGTGAAGCTCCGCTGTAACGAAGTAATTAGCTCATAGGATAATGGGGCGGGACTTACCTTTTCGAATGGACTGGTTCCAAGGGGACTGCGGCGCTTTGCTGTTCTCGATATCGGGAGAGGAGCTTGAGGATTGCAATCTGTGTGCGAATAGATCATTTCCAGGTAATTCTAGAGCATGAAAGTGTAGGAACGCAAACAGAGTTTGTCTTGTTACGCAAGCCCTGGCGTGCCTCCCAAATCCAGATGTCAAGTCTCTTCGCGACGTCCTGGGACGCATGGCACCTGATTCGGCAGCGGGTATTCTTGAGACTGTTGAACGTTACGGCTCATGGACTGCAAAGTAAGGCATCAAACCAATTTCGCCTGGGAGCCTCACCTAAAATAACCTAGCTAGCTTCCGGAGCTAACCAGGCTTGTAAATTCTGCTCTCAATTTCATGAAACAGCCAGCTTGGCAGATCGTATCCCCACCTTTTTTGCCCGGCCATGCCGCAGGGGCTGTGGTGATTGTTGTGCCGGAGGGCCGGAAGCTTATTTATCTTTGTGGAGATTATGTAATCCGCTTGCTCACAATGAAGGACATATCCTGGTTCTCCTGAAGGGCTGTGAGAGGAAATGCGAAAATGCTTCCTTGAAGGTGCGATGTTGAAAGGGTACTGTACTTATACTATTGCATATTACTCGTGTCATGTTTCCCTGGTCTCGGAGTGTCGGCCCAGTTTCTTGCCCGTTCCCCGTAATGGACGTGAGTCCCATGTCTTGGCTTCAGGTTGAGACGGCTGCATGGGTCCGCACAGGCGCTGCCGAGGACCGGCTGCGTGAGCAACTGCAAACCCTTCAGCGCAAGCTGCTGACTCTGGTGGCTGAGAACGAAGCTCTCAGCACACGACTCGCGGGCCTGCGGTCTGTCTGCATGGAGCTGAAGGAGCAGCTGGCCTCTGGGGAGGTAGCTTCGAATCTGTACCCGGAGACGCAGCAGCACCTCCTACACCTGTGCAACACTGCCGCCAGCTACTGCGAGGTAGAGCACAATATGCCACTCTTCGCGCGCACCAGTAGTATGGCCAAAATCCAGGACCTAGAGGGCGACCTGTCTGATTTTCGCACCCTTGAGGGCTGTTTGGCATCAGCAGGCAGAACCGGCGCAGGCAAGGCTGCTGCAGAAGCCGCTGCCGCCGCAGCGGCGGCCGCCGTGGCGA